GCCTGGGGCTGGATGGACGGCCCCCTCTCACGGTGGCTCAGTCACACAGTGGGTGAGCCCGTGCTGGCTGCCGGCAGGAAGCCGTGGTCCCTTACCATTGGGCTGCTTGAGTGCTGAGTGTCCCTATAACATGACAGCTGGCTTCCCCCAGAAGGCCCCTTATAACCTCCTCTCAGAAGTCGCACACCATCACGTCTGCAAATCCCACTGGTTACACAGGTCAGCCCTATTCACGAGGAAGTGGACCACGCGAGGCCATGAGACCTTGCTGCCAGGAGACAAGAATGACATCTTTGAGTCTGCCTTTAAGGGCAGTGCCATTGTATAGTGAGCAACATGCACAACGGTAATTTTGGTGCCACTGGGCCTCTGCCCTTGGCCTTCACCAGCTGCGTGCCATAATGACAGTCTGATCTCGAGCAGAAACACCGAGACGCAGAAAATAAGTCCAAGACAGAGTGAGGTCCATGGCAGGAGTCATCCGGGCATCTGAATTGAGAGCTGGAGAAAGGATCATCTGAGTGGAGTCTGGGAGTGTGGGTGGGCTGTGACCTCCTGGAGAAGGAGGATGATGGACGTGCGGGGTACTGGGTGCTCTCCAGCCAAGGAGCTCAGCACGAGCAAAGGCACGGAGGCTGAGAAGCAGGTTTTGTGTCGGGGAATTAGAGAGGGAAGAGGGTACAGGGCTAGGGTGTGGGACACATTTGAGATCAGTGCTATGGGTCGTCAGCTCAGAAAGTGCGATGGGAAAGACTGACAGAGCCTCAGCTCTATCTCCTCCTCTCCCCTCCTCCCCTGTTGCCTGGCAGAGCTTTGCCAGAACCACCACCGGTCAGGGAAGACAGAGAGAAGGGGAGGCTCCGCAGGAGAAAGTGGGCGAGTTCCAGGGTCCCCTCTGGGGTCTCAGAGATGCTTTGCCCCCTCGGAGGAAAGCCACAGCCTGAAGCTTGCTTGGGAAGTCTTCCTGATGCTGCAGCTCCCAGAGCCGGCCTAGCCTTCATCCTCCTGCTGGCCCTGCCTGCTTGGCCCTCCTGGGAAGGAGGGCCAACCTCCCCTGCTGACCCAAATCCTTTCCACGCCTCCTGCACAGAGGCAGCCCTGAGCATCTCTGAATGCCCGAAGTCTGAGCCCCTCGGGGGATAGCAGGGACCCCTGGCCTTCCTGGTGGCCTTTGTGGAGTGGAGGTAGGAGGTAGAGTGGTTGGGGTTAAGAGCTTGGCCTGGCGAGCCGGCCTTCGGACTCAGAGCCTTATGCTGTAACTTAACATCTCTGTGATTTATCCTTTTGTCCCTCCCTCTCCTCCTCTGTAAGATAGGGACAGTGATGATTAGAGGAGCTAAATGCCATCTGTTGTGAAGATGGGCAGGCCTGAGGCCAGGTGATGGTCCTGGTCCCTCATTTGGGAGCCCCACTGTGGGGGGCAGGCACTTGGTCTGTGGTCGGCCCAACCCTATCCTGCCATCCGGCCTTTAGAGGCCTGAGTGTCTGAGCTCACTGCACAGAAGGTCACGTGGGACCTGCCTCCCACAGAGCAGCCCCAGCAGTCACGGCAGTGTAGAAGGAGCCATCCAGCAGGGAGCCTCTCGGCCTGCCAGGCATTCTCAAGCCCTCTGCTTTCCCTCTAGCCCCCACCATGGCAGCAGGGAAGCCTGGGGTGTCAGGGAAGGAAGGAGCCTTAGAACTCTCTCTGTGGCGTGGACAATTGAGGCCTGCAGCCTGGGGTTGCCCTTCCTAGTCAGAGAGAAAGAAGGGAGTCCTACATAGGACCTTAGGGGGACCTGAGCCTCCTGGAGGGAGGTAGAAGTGGGATGGTTTTTCAGTAGACAAGAACCAAGTTAAATGGGGCCATTCAGAGCAGAACCTGGCCCCCCAGACCTAGAGTGCCTTGGTGGAACTGCCCATTTTGCATTTACTGTTCCCACAGCCCGGAACTCTGTTCCCTACATCGTCCTGTGGCTGGATCCTTCTTACCATCCAGGCAAAGGACACCTCCTCAAGGAGGTCCTCCCTGACCACTCTGAGTAAAGTAGTCTCCCTCTCCCCACCACCCCACCCACTACTATAGATAGATGATAAATAACGTTGGGGTGGAAGAAGATTTATTGATTGGTTTAGGTTGTTTCCTATCATTTGATTTTTTAAATTAAACTTTTTATTTTTGACATCATTTTTTGATTCTCATGTGGTTTTAAGGATCGTCCAGATATCCCATGTCTACTTCACCCAGTTTTCTCCAATGGTAACATCTTTCAATATCATAGTATGACATCAGCCACAATCGTGACCTTGACACAATCTAGGTAAGGGACATTCCCATCGCCAGGAGGGTCCCTTGTGTTACCCTTGTATAGCCACGCCCACCTCCCTCCTGCCCCACCCCTCCCATGTTCTCCATCTCTATAATTATGCCACCTCGAGAACATTATGTAAATGGAATCATATAGGATGTAACCTACCAGTATTGGCTTTTTTCACTCTGGCTTTTCCAGGAATTGTATGCATCAGTAGCTCATTTCTTTTGATTGCTGCCTAGTCCTCCCTGGAATGGATGCACTGCGGCTTGGTGAACCAGTCACCCGTTAAAGGAGATCCGGGTGCTTTCCAGTTACTGACTACTATGCACAAAGCTGCTGAGAACATTTGCATTGAGGTTGTGTGGACCTAAGTTTTTATTTCTCTGGGATAAATGCTCAAGAGTGCTTGCTGGGTCAAATGGTAGTTACATATTTCGTTTTTTTTCAGAAACCACCAAGTTGTTTTCCAGAGAGGCTGTGCCATTTTACATGCCCACCAGCAATGGCTGAGTACTCGTTTCCCCACATCCTCACCAGCATTTAGTGTTATCACTGTTTTTATTTTAGCCATTTTGAGAGGTGTGTAGGGAGCTCTCAGTTGTCTCTGGTGAATCTTGCTGTATCTTTATCACAGTTATGTCTGTAAGTGGGGTTAGAACAGGGGCTTTCTTGGTCTGCCCTCTGTGCATTCCTGGAGGTCAGGGCAGAGCCTGGCGCTGGGAAAAACCCAGTGACTAGTTAAGGAATGAATGTCTGGCCTGTGGGGTATCTGGCCCTCTTAAAGAGGAGAAAGTGGGAAGGCAGCAAAGCTGTCACTCTGGGAAACCTCCTGAGCCCCTCCCACCACTGGGATTGCTCAGGGAAGCCTTGGGCCCTTGGTGATGGGAGAGGATGGAAGGGGGAAAGAGCATCAGCACCCTGCACTTCCCGCCAAGCTCCTGGTACCTCCAGACCCCATTCGCACGTACTGTGTGCCCGGCACTCCTCACTCCTCTCCTTCCTCCCCTCCCACTGCATCTGCCTTCCCAGAGTAGAAACATCCAGAAGATAAATGTGTGGGGATCCCCAAAGATCTTCCCACAGGGGCACAAGGATTTCAGGTTTTGTTTTTATTTTTTATCTTCTGTCCACTGTAATCGCACTGGGGTATGGCCCAGGTTTTGCTAGGATTTATCATGGGCCATAAATCAAGCTTTGCCGTAAGTAGAAGGGTCCTCCTCTAGGTGATGGCATAAAAATTGAGGTGGCTTTTTGTCCAGGTTGAACCTGCAGACTTGGGCTGTGAGTCTTACTCCCTACAGGGAGGTAATTCCTGGTGTCCTCCGTCCTGTACTTTTCCCTCCTCGCAGCTCTCACTGGACACACTTTGTATTTTATATATAGAATGCTAAGGGGTCTCAGAAGAGGCTTCTCCCTGCAGGAGATGCCTTTCCCCGAGGGTAACAGAATACAGACAGGATACATTAACGATGTACTTGAATTTAATGTGGAATTTGAATGTGTATTTTATATCTGAAACAGCTCACAGATACACATAAATAGGAAGTATATACATGTATAGGAGGTCAGTATTTAAAAGAAAAAAAGAGGTCAAGATGTGCAAAAGAAGAGAAACTTCATCAGCTAAGATGAAGCCAGAAGGAAGGTCCAGAAGGCAAAACGTGGGCTATAAGACCCCGGCTTCCATGCTGAAATTGGGCCACAAAATCGGTTTTAAGATTCCTAGCAGCTCTATCCATTTGCTCCGGCCGCCATAAGAAAGCAGCATAGCCCAGGGTGTTCCAACAACAGAGATCGATTTTGTTATGGTTCTGGAGGCTGGAGGTTCAAGGTCAAGGTGTCTGTGGGTTTGGTTTCTTATGAGGCCTCCTTGACTCATCTTCTCACTGTGTCTTCGTGGGGTGGCCCCTCCGTGTGTGTCTGTGGCCTCCTGTCCTCCTACAAGGCTACCAGTCAGACCAGACGAGGGCTCGCTCATATGACCTCACTGTAACTTTAATCACCTCCTTAAAGGCCTTACCTCCAAATACAGTCGCATTCTGAGATACTGAGGGTTGAGAGTTCAACATAAAAGGGTTGGGGGGGGCACCCCAGCCCAGCTCTTCACAGGAGACAGTAGGTCAAGATGTTCATCCATTACCTGAGTCACAGGTTTTGTGGGGGGAAATAAAAGGACAAAAAAACAGAGCATTTTCCCAGCAGGAGCCCCAAGAGGTGACAGACCATTCCCCCTGTGGCGCTTTACCCACGGATGTCATGTGGGTAAGTGGTGGACGCTGTCCCCGTAGCACGCAGAGCAGTTGGGGTTCCCGTGGTCCATTCTGGTGTTTCTAAAGCTCCACGTCAGTGAAATGGAATTCAGTGGAAAACGTGCTCGTGAGAAGCTTCCACAGCCTTGGTGGCAGGGCGGATGCCCGCTGCCCAGTGAGAAGCCTAACTCTGAGGGCCTTCGGGGTCCCGGGAGAGAACCTGCACGTTGGACAGTGAAAAGCCTGGCTGGCGAGCTGGGCCCTGAACGGCAGGTGGGGTTTGGTAAAGCCAAGAAAGAGGAAGGCCGACCTCCTGGTGGAGGGGGAGAGGGCAGGGAGGGCAGAGGTGCTGTGGCCACCACTCCCAACAGCCTGGCCTCCCAGGGGCCCCAGCACTGGAGATCCCCTCCCGGGACAACGCCTCTAACCCAGGTCTCCTCTCCGTGCATCCCCGCAGGGCTCTGGCTGAGACCATGGCCAATGGCATCGACGAGCTCATTGGCATTCCCTTCCCCAACCACAGCAGTGAGGTCCTGTGTAGCCTGAACGAGCAGCGGCATGACGGCCTGCTCTGCGACGTGCTCCTGGTGGTCCAGGAGCAGGAGTACCGTACCCACCGCTCCGTCCTGGCCGCCTGCAGCAAGTACTTCAAGAAGCTCTTCACGGCCGGCGCCCTCGCCAGCCAGCCGTACGTCTACGAGATCGACTTCGTCCAGCCCGAGGCCCTGGCCGCCATCCTGGACTTCGCCTACACGTCCACGCTCACCATCACCGCCGCCAACGTCAAGCACATCCTCAACGCCGCCAGGATGCTGGAGATCCAGTGCATCGTGAACGTGTGTCTGGAGATCATGGAGCCCGGCGGGGACGGCGGGGAGGAGGACGACAAGGAGGACGACGATGATGACGACGAGGACGAGGATGAGGAGGATGAGGAGGAGGAGGAGGAGGAAGAGGAGGAGGACGAGGACGACGACACAGAGGACTTTGCCGATCAAGAAAACTTGCCTGACCCCCAGGACATCAACTGCCACCAAAGCCCTTCCAAGACGGACCATCTCACCGAGAAGGCCTATTCGGACACACCCAGGGACTTCCCTGACTCCTTCCAGGCTGGCGGCCCTGGGCATCTGGGCGTGATCCGGGACTTCTCCATCGAATCTCTGCTGAGGGAGAACCTGTACCCCAAGGCCAACATCGCCGACAGGAGACCCTCTTTATCGCCGTTCGCCCCCGACTTCTTCCCGCACCTCTGGCCGGGGGACTTCGGTGCCTTTGCCCAGCTGCCCGAGCAGCCCATGGACAGTGGGCCGCTAGATCTGGTCATCAAGAACCGGAAGATCAAGGAGGAGGAGAAGGAGGAGCTTCCCCCACCCCCACCGCCCCCCTTCCCCAGCGACTTCTTCAAGGACATGTTCCCTGACCTTCCCGGGGGGCCGCTGGGCCCCATCAAGGCGGAGAGTGACTACGGTGCCTATCTCAACTTCCTGAGTGCAACCCACCTGGGGGGCCTCTTCCCGCCATGGCCGCTGGTGGAGGAGCGCAAGCTAAAGCCCAAGGCCTCCCAGCAGTGCCCCATCTGCCACAAGGTCATCATGGGGGCCGGGAAGCTGCCGCGGCACATGAGGACCCACACCGGGGAGAAGCCATACATGTGCAGTATCTGCGAGGTCCGCTTCACCAGGTGTGTATTGCCGCCCCCAGGTCGGGGCGGGGGGGTCAGAGCGGGACACGGAGGGCTGGGATGTGGAGACAGCCAGTTCTGGGGAGGCCCCGCTGGATCCGAGAGGCATGTCAAGTTTATTTGCTAGAAGGCGCGTACGCAAGGCCTTACCTGGTGCAGGGATTCCCAAACCCATTTCAAGAGCTAGAGGGTTTTCTGAAATACAGATGAGGTGGAAGGCTGAGATACAGTATAGGTGAGGCAGAGCTGTCCCGGGTAAGGCAGAGCGAGCCCACCCCCCCACCCCGCTCCCGCGCTGTGCTTGCTTGACCTCCCTCTCCCCTCCCCCACTGTGCACCCACGGGAGCCAGGTTGAAGCCCCCCAGTGGAGTGTCACCTCTTTAGTTTACTCCACGCATGCTGGGCCGCGTCCTGAGCTGCTGCAGAGACCGTCACCACAGCCCTGCCCTGGGACGATGGGGCGGTTCCTGCCATGGCCTTTGCTTGCAGAGGAGCAGTCCCCCTCTCTGTGCAAATTGGCCACCTGTAAGTGCATGGAGAGGAAAATGCCAGAGCTGGGACATGTATGACACCAAAATCTGTGACCGGGAGACTGCAGAGACCCCCCCCCCCTTCCCTGTCGTCCTTTCAGTCCTCTTCTGGATCCTATCTAAAGGATCAGCCTCCTTTTATGTCCTCCCGCCGATTCTCCATGTCAGGACGAGGGTTCACTCTATGCGGTTATAAAGTTTGAGATCTGAAATCGGTACATCACAAACCTTCCATCTGACACAGACTCCATGCCATTCAGCAAGCATGTGATATGTGCCTTCTCTCCATTGCAACATTTGGGTTCAGAACTGATTGGGGGTGGTGGTGCTGTGGGCTCAGATGTGTTCCCTGCTCCGTTTTGCTGGTCCTCATATGGGAAAATAGGGTTTGTTGGTGCTGGGTGTGGTCACTGGTGTGAGGCTGCCCCGGGCACTGCGACAGTGGAGAAAGTTCCGGCGGGTGGTGTTGCATCAGGGCTTGGTCATTTCTGTGGATCGGATGCAGACAGAGCCTGGTGGACGCCTGCCCTGTGACCGTGACTTACCAGACTAGGTCCTTGCCCCACACAGCCCCATTCCCTGGCGAAGAACTCCCCTTGAGACCCACACTTGTTCCAAGGGCAGTGCCACTACTCCATATCCTCTTGGAGATTTTTCTTTGGGAATTGCTGGGGGCTCGTTGTTTTGAGTTTCCTCAGTGGGGCCCAGCTTTGGCCTTTGAGGAGAGAGTGACCTTTTTTTTTTTTCTTTTTTTCTTTTTTGGAGCCAAGTTGAATAATAGCAAATCAGGGGTGGTACTTTTCCGGGGAAAAAAATAAGATGAGCATTACAAAATAATGAGACCCACTGTCTTGGGTGGCTTCAAACTCTCTTTGAAGTTTCCCGAGAAGGGTATCAGTAATCTGTTCAAGTGACAGTGGCAGGGGTGTCAGAGCTCTGCAGGCTCTTTGGTGACTGGAAGGAGGATACTGATTGTTTCCAAGGTGGCTTTGGGATCCCCGCACGGCTGCTTCTGAGACAGACACCCCAAACAGAATCTCTCCCAGATGCTTGGAGCTGACAGTGGAGGGAGAGTCTCCAGGTGCAGAGGGGCAGGGCCCCACTTACCCCAGGGGCGCCCCCATAGTCTTCCCCACAGCCCTGACCTCAGGGCACTCTGCTCCCCTTATTGGCACACAGCAGCTGGGCCCAAAGTCCCTGGGACTCGCCTCCCCGGGATAGCCCTCACTAACAGCCCTGCCACTCGAATCACCGCCAGCACCCCGCCGCCACCACCACCTTCTCCTAAATTTACCTTAGCCCCACAGACCAGGCTGGAACACCTGGACGACCGGTGACAAAAGCAGGGGGATCATTTTGGGGAGATAAACTAGGCCACAATTCACATTCGACTACCATTCACCCATCTCCAGCCTGTGACTCCCAGACCAGGCCCCTGGGAGTGACTTCAAAGACAAGGACACTCTTCACAGGCCAGATCCAGCCAGGCCCCAAGTCAGTCACAACACCCCCTCCTGCCATCCAGGGTCCATGTCCCTGATTTCCCACACCTGTTCCCTTCCCACAGGGCTGACTCCGGGACCCCTCTCCCCTGCAGGGGAGCCCCGGCTCTGTGGCTTTGGAGGAGGTGCACATCTCAGCATGCCACACAGTGAGCCTGCCTAGCACCCCAAGTCCCTTCCTTCGCTGGCCCTCCCCTCCAGGCCTTTCCCACACACACAGCCTTCTGTGCAGGCCGTGCCAGTCTGTGGGCCCTGCCTTCCCTTGGGAAAATGTTAAACTTGGTCAGTCGCTGCAGACAGACTTCTTGCCCTCCTGACACGAGAACATTCTCTGAGTAAGCCTCCTGGTTCGGGTAGGACACTGGGTTGTAGAGGAGGGCCGCATTCCAGAACCCTCCCTCCCAGCACATTCCTGATGATCCCGTAGTAGGGGGCGTAGGGGGCGGCTGTGTCTGCAGCCTCACCAGCCCTCACCAGCCCTCCCGGCCAGATCCAGGCCGTGAGTCTGCCCTGCTGCCCTCCGTCTGGTCCGCTCCTGCTCAGCTCAGGGACTGCCATCTGGGCCCCCTGAAGCAGCTGCGTTCCTGCCTCAGTCAGCACCTCCCCTCACCCAGCTCCCGCTGGACTCTGACCCCACTGAGAAAGGTCAGAGTTGCTCTTGGGCCCCCCCTTCCCAGGAGCAGGGGCGCCCCAGAGTGGGGGGAGGCTGGACATTTTCCTGGCCTCCTCACACAAGGGACTCTGGGGACTTGATTGCGTGCCGAAGGCTGCCGCTGACCACCCTCCCTGTCACATTCTTTAGAATGGCGGGCTGGCTCCATGCTTCTGTCCTGCCCCCTCCCGGAGCTGGCCCCGCAAGGCTCCTTCTCTGAGCCCTGGCCTCTCCCTGTAGTCAGATCCCTCACAGCACTTCCGTGGGGACTCTCCTGGGGGCTGACTTCCTGCACCACCTCCCACAACACCTTCCCTCCCTCCCCAGATGGAGGCACTTCAGCAGCCCCTTAAAACAGCTGCTGCCTCCTTGACTCAGGATTCCCAGCCTCCCTTGTAAGGCCAAACCACTCCTAGGGACCGGGTCCCTCGGAGGCTGAGGGATCTCGGACGGGCCGCCCTCGACTCCTCCTCTTAGACACTATTTTCCCTCTCTTTCCTTAAACACAGCTGAGCTTCCACTCTCTGGTCGGGGCTCCTTTCCCTTCCCCTTGATGCTGACCCCACCTCCCATCACTCCAGGGGATGTTGGAGCGGCCCACCCTCCTCTGGCAAAGTGGCCCTTTTGGCCCAGGCTCTGAGTTATGACCTCAGATGCCGACTCCCAGAATGTCCACGTGTCATTCCTCACGGCTTCGGCAGCAGCGGTGGTGAAAGGATTGGGGAGTCCTTCCCGCAGAGCCCCTGTTCTGTCCTGAGAGCCCAGCCTGTAGCTCTCATGCTGCGGTTCTCCAAGAAGAGAGGGGAAGGCCTCCCCCACCATGGCATTGTCTCTTCCTTGGCATCAGACCCTCACCTCGGAGACGGTGCTCAATTTCAAGCAGCCCTGGGGACTGTTGTCTTTCCACTGATTGTTCCAGATATGAGACACCCCTGGAGCCTCAGGCAGGGCCTTGAAGGCTTCAACCAGACTATGTTTCTTTGGCCCCACGCTGTCCCCTCCCAGCTCTGGTCACCCCACAATCACATGGAGTCCTTCTCCCTGAGTCTTGCACCCTGAGCATCACTGTCTGGCCGGCTGTGACCTCCTCAGTGTCCACCAGGCCTCCTGCCACCAGCCCATAAAGGCTGCAAAGCTTCACCTCCGACCCCTGCCGCCCGCGTGAGCCCCATGCCGGTTGCTACACACACCCGCAGTGGTCTGCTCTCCAGACCAGGCCAGGAGCCCGGCAGCTGCCTTTTTCCCATATTTCCTTTTTAGCCCTCCCACTCCTGGCAGCCCTGGGGACTTATTAAGACAATGCAATGTCATTAGCAGTGGTACCAGGAAGAGGGGTTGTCTCAGTCTGTCAGGTTACCAAGAAGTGTGGGCGGATGGTGCTGGGAAAGCATTGTTGGGCCTGGGAGCCCTCGCGGAGGCCAGGGACCCTGGATGAGACCCCGTGGCCCTTTCCTTCACTCGAGGGAATGAGCTCATAAGGACTGACACAGCTTTCCCATGACATGCCCCACTGGAAGGGGGAATGCAGATCAATGCTTGGGTGCATGGGGCCTGGACTGGTCCCCAGCACAGGGTCAGGGAAGGGGATGGCAGACAGGGAAGTCAGGGAGAGCCAGAGCGCACTGGAATCGGAGCCAGGGGAGCTCTGGGAACTGCTCCTGCACCTGCAGGTCAAGGGTCAGTCGGCAAAGGCTCCACGAGCGCTCCCTGCACGCTCCAGGTGGTGTACCAACCCTGCAGAATACAGAAGCGTCCGACAGGTTCTCATCAAAGCAGGTCGGGTAGCTTCGGTGCCACGGACTGAGTGAGGCCAGAAAAGCAGTGCCCCGCACTCACTAAGTGATGCTGAACGGGGCGGGGGGGGGGGGGGGGGGGGGGGGGGGAAGGGAGGGGTGTGATGGTGGGGAGAAGGGGCTCCTTGCCCCGGAGTGACCTAGCTCGAGGGACAGTATTCAGGTCACGCGCTCTGGAAGGTGAGGGCCAAGGATAAGACCTGGGTGGACACGGAAAGGTTTGTAGAGGATTGCCCTTGAAGTTGACCTTGAAGGGTGGAGGTGAGGAGTTGGGAGTGGGAGACATTTCCAGCAGTGCAGTTTGCCAAAGTAAACTGAGAAATAGGTGCAGGGAGGAGGGGGGCCGGAGCGAGGTTTCATGGCTGGGGAGGAAGGAGCACGCACGCTGACATCTGGGCTTGGACCTCTGGTGGGAGCCAGAGATGGCGCACTGGTGTCCAAACACAAGATCTGCAGAGAAAGGGAAGGAGACAGGATTTACCAAGCATCCATTTCATAATACGGCAGGCTCTGCACTGGAAGGAGGGACGGCTAGAAGTCTGGCTCATGCCTCCAGGTGTTCAAAGACACAGAGTCGACCAGTTCCCCAGAGCGTGGCCTGCTGAGGGACCAGCATATATGTCTAGTGGGGTGGGGGGGGCAGTACTCTGGGGAGGGGAGTTAGCAAGTAGATGGGTGATCTTTTCTTTCCAGCTTTATTCAGATATAATGGACATAGAGCATAGAAGGCCAAGGTCTACGATGTCAGGATACCACGCTAATGTGTGGTAGAGCGCACATTAACACACCCATCGCCTCAGATGGTTACATTGTGTGTGTGTGTGGCAAGAACACTTCAGATCTACTCTCCTAACAACTTCCAAGTATACAATGCTGTATTGTTAACTGTAGTCACCGAGGGTTCCCCGAACTTAAAACTCAGTTAGTAACTGGAAGGGTTAGCTCGTGAGGGCCTTGTAAGCCATGCCAAGGAGCCAGTTAGCACATCGGCCATCGGGACCACCAGACCTCCAGTCCCAAATGGAAGGGATGAAGAGCTCAGCTCCTGAGAGTCAAGCTAGAACACTTTCTGGCTAAACTTAGGCCACCTCCTCAAACAAACCAGATCCGTGAGGAAGCAGAGGTAGAAGAACCATCATCTGCAAAGCCAACTAGTTAGAGGGAGGTTTGGTGTAAACCCATTCCCCAGATGCAAACACTCACAGAACACCAGAGGTCAAAATGGTGCAGCCCAGCCTCCCATTTTAGAGGTCAGGAAACTGAGGCGCAGGTCACCTAAGGACCTGGTCCAGTTCTTAGAGCCTGCCTGCCCCCGGGCCTGCCTCTGCCAATGGGCCTGCACATTATATCCACGTGCACGGGTCGTGACAGGGATGAGGAGGAGCTGTGACCTCAGAAGGCCATTCTCTCTCTGTCCTTGCTTTCCTCATCTTGAGCACTAAGTATTTAATTGAAATCAGTATTTTCAAGGTCCCAGCAAGTGTACTGCCAATAACATAGGTGGCCCGGCCCACTGACTCTGCTGTGAATCAGAACATAATAATGCGATCCTGGTAGACCAGATGATCGCTAAATTCTTTTTCCAGGACTAACTTATCATGGGCTTTGCAGCTCTACTAACCTTCCCCACTGCTCCCAGGAAAGAAAAGTCATAGTTAGGGCCAGCCGGCTCCTGCCCAGGGCTGAGCTTCTCCCACGCCTGCCCCTGTCTTCTGGCCCCAGAGGCAGAAAGCTGGCCACAAATTCTGACTATTCTGGTCTACACTTTCTGAGGCAGCCCTGCTGGGCCACAGGCTGGGAGTCCCTGGTTGGAAAATCAACCTTTCTCAATCTCAGAATAGCTTGCAAATAAAACCCTACTCCAGATGGCTCCCCAGGCTTCTTTGCCCCTCATGGCCGGATACCTTTGGGAAAGTCGCTTGACTTCCCTGAGCTTCAACTCGTCCTCTCAGTGAGGCAATTATTCTAGCTATGTTGAATCTAACTCATTTGAACCCAGTTTCTCTCATCAGTCCTAGACAATAGTAACTGATGTTGGGCCCTTGGTTCACTTCTGCACAGAGAGGTTAAGTACCTTGCTGAAGGTCACCCAGCAACTTAGTGGTGGGTCCACAGTGACAGCAGGGACTCCTAGAACCCTCCCCACCCCCCCCCCGCATGGCAGCCTCGCTCCTACACCACAACTTGCCTCTGAATGAATAACAACATTCCAGGGTCACTGAAATGGTGTATATTCATCGGCTCATAGCAGGTGCTCAGTAAAAGGAAGCGATTGTCACCTTCTGAGCACTTCTTACACACTTCAGTTAAGTGCTGCTGAAATGTGACTTATTTTGGATGCTCTAATGAAAAGCTTGGGAGAAGCGATGGGTATTTATGTCTGAATATCTGAAACCTTACCTTTTGCACTGTCCATTACTTGAGGGTGGCCCTCCACATCAATACTATTGATTACATGTGATCATGATTTTGAAAAATATCCAGCATATCAGTTCATGGAGAGGGTTAAATAAGGGGCTATACTTAACAACCCAGAGCTGACTTCTCACCGAAGCCTCCACCAGGCCCAGGGAAAGACACAAGTCCCCTGGCCAGTGACCAGCAAGCTTCAGCACTTCCCTGAGAGCCTTGAATGTGTGGAGTCCCAGGACCTGTCCCCCACGACTAAATCGGCACTTAGCTCTTGAGGTACAAATGGTATTGTGCACCCCGCCCCTGCAGTGCTGAGGAACAAAGCCTGAGTTCTAGGCTCAGCACTGCCATTACTCCTCTGGTGGCCTTGGCAAGTTCCCCTCCTGAGACCCCAGTCTCCCCTCCAGCCAAGGTGGCTCTTCAGGTGGTGCGGGGACTAGCAGGGCAGGGCTGGGGGGGTGGCAGCAGTAGTTGCAACTTGTTAGGAATGCAAATCTTCTGCTCTCCCCCACCACCCCACCTCTCAGATCAGAAGCTCTGGGAGTGGGGCCCAGCACGCTGCCCATGGAGCCCTCAAGGCCCTTCTTAGGCAGCCTCGAGTTTGAGACCCGCTGGCCCAGTTGCTTGCTAAGACTGCTTTCCCTTCAGACCCCAAGTCAACGCGATGAAATGTGGGTTGTAGATACCACAAGGGCAGCAAGCTGGCTGGGGAAGGGAACATGGGATGTCACAACAGGGTGCTACGCAGCCTAGGCATGGCTGGTGGGTTGTGGCAGGAACAGGGAGTGGGGACAAGAGGATGGTCTGGTGTGTGGAGACACCTGCCCACTTTACTCCCTCCTCCCTGCCCATCCTGCTTCCCACCCCCATCTCCATCTCCTGGGTGCCCTTCCGCCTTCCTGGGAGCACAGGTGGAAGGGGTGGCTCTGTCCTCCCTGGTCCTCCTCCCCGGATCCCTGCCAGTGTACAGGAAAATGTCCTTTTCTCTCCTGCCCCACCCCTGGGGAACCAGTCCAGAAATGAGAGCCAGTGAGACCTCTAGTGGCCAGGAGACACCAGGAGACCAGGACCAGCTCCCGCTGTCCTGGGGTTCTACAGAGCGTGGTTTAAATCTGGCCACTTTAGGGCGGATGCCTGAGCTCCTCATCTGCTCTGACCTCAAACCCGAGCCCAAAATTACAGGCAGATGCTCCACCCGAGCCACACCTGCAGGGAGGACGTGGGAGACAGGACGAGGAGCTTGTTGGCCTGCCAGGCGTAGTCGGGGAAGGTTCCAGAAGGACCGTGAGATGAGTTCTTGCAGTCCACCTGACCCCACTTCAGCCAGGCTGGAAGGTTCCATTGGCCGGCTTGTGCAGAGCTCAGGCTTTAGGAAGGCAACCCTTGAAGTCAGTTTTCTTTTCAAGATCACCAGGAGGTGTGTTGGATCTAGTCTGATACAAACCCAGATTCTTTCCAACAGCCCTGGACAACAGGAACCGATGTCTAATGCTAAGTTCGGCTCAGTGCAGAGATGTTAAGTAACTTGCCTGCAGACATTCAGCATGTTAGTGGTGGGCCCGCAGCTGGAGCAGGGCCTCCCGAGCCCAGGGGGAGCCCCACCTTCACACATACCCTCCCTCTGAATAACAGATTTTTAAATCCTGAAAAGCTTTGCCCTAGATTAGGCTACATTCTTGTCGCACCTGGCTCTTTTGTAAACCCTGGGATTCTCGGCAGACAAAGAGGAGAGCCCATGACTCAGGGTAAGAAACCACAGTGTGTGGAGACTTGAACAAGGTGTGCTCGGCTTCCGCAGCCTCCCAGATTAGTTCTGAGGACAGACAGATCTCAATAGTCCCCGGGGCCACCATGGGCCCCAGGGGCTCACAGGAACAACAGGAGGGAAGACTGTCACCTGGAGACAATGGGCATGAAATTAAGGTGCAACCCAGTATCAAAGGATGTCCCACCCTGCAGGGACGAAGGACAGACTGCTGACCTGTGGGGAGAAGTGTCCCCAGAAGGCCCATTTCCGGTCTGAGACAGGCCTCTGATGGAGAGGCTCTTGAAGATTCTGAACCTAGGAGTAAAGGGAGTTGGGGGAGTGAAGGAGGCCTTTCCAGACTCAGCTCCCTCTCCAGCCCTCTAATCCCCGTGAGGGACCTTTTTGGAGTGAGGCAGGGGAAGCGAGGAAGTCCCAGCACAGGCCCCCTTTCTGGATCTGGGCACCACAGCAGGGGCGGGCCTTGGCAGGTTCTGGAGGAAGGGGGCAGCCGCGTAGGGGTGGCTCGCCGCGTGGGGCCCGGGGACTGACGCCCGCTCTGCGTTGCAGGCAGGACAAGCTGAAGATCCACATGCGGAAGCACACGGGGGAGCGGCCCTACCTGTGCATCCACTGCAACGCCAAGTTTGTGCACAACTACGACCTCAAGAACCACATGCGCATCCACACGGGCGTGCGGCCCTACCAGTGCGAGTTCTGCTACAAGAGCTTCACGCGCTCCGACCACCTGCACCGCCACATCAAGCGCCAGAGCTGCCGCATGGCCCGGCCCCGGCGCGGCCGCAAGCCCGCCGCCTGGAGGGCCGCCAGCCTGCTCTTCGGGCCCGGAGGCCCGGCGCCCGACAAGGCGGCCTTCGTGATGCCGCCCGCGCTGGGCGAGGTGGGCGGCCACCTGGGCGGGGCGGCCGTGTGCCTCCCGGGCCCCAGCCCCGCCAAGCACTTCCTGGCGGCGCCCAAGGGCGCGCTGAGCCTGCAGGAGCTCGAGCGGCAGTTCGAGGAGACGCAGATGAAGCTGTTCGGGCGCGCGCAGCTGGAGGCGGAGAGGGACGCGGGGGGCCTGCTGGCCTTCGCGCTGGCCGAGAACGTGGCGGCCGCGCGGCCCTACTTCCCGCTGCCTGACCCGTGGGCCGCGGGCCTGGCCGGCCTCCCGGGGCTCGCGGGCCTCAACCACGTGGCCTCCATGTCCGAAGCCAACAACTAGGCTGGTCCTCCTGGACTCCCCCACCCAGTCCCGCGGCCCTGCCCCCTCTCCCGCCAGACTCCCCCCGCGCCGCCCAGTGGGTCTGAACTTCGTCTTTGAAATCACAAAGGAAACAAGAAAAAATATTATCAGCAACAGTGGTACTTTCCAGGCCTCCTGGGGCCTCCTGCCTCCCTTTCGAAGGTGTCTGAGATGGACACCTCTTACCGAAGGGCCTGGAGCCCCGGGGCCTGGCCTCCACCTGTCTCTCACTTTGGCTGTCACCCACAAACTCACAGGGGCCTGTGCCACAGAGGAGGCCACACCCCGGGTGCCCAGGGGCACTTTGGAGTTCTGTGGGGCTAGATGGAGGGAGGGAGTTTGGCCAGAGGCAGACCGGATGGAGCAGGGCTGAGGCCTACCTCAGGCCTACCCTAAGGGCTTGGGGTACATGTCCTCTCCTCCCCACAGTCCTGTGGCAAAGTCTCTACGACCGGCTCTGCTGGGTCATGTTTCTAGTCTCCGGCCATCCTGGGATCCTTATGAGAAATGCCCTGTTGGCGGGCAGGGCTCCTGGAAGCCCGGCCCATTTTTCCCCTCACTGCCCTATAACCTTGGACAGGTCAGTCCTCTCTACCCTGCTACAGAGGAGGGGCTGCTAATTTAGTTTCCCCTCTGGAACCCACCCACCCATCCGCATACACACATCTACACAGCTGTCCCTTACAAAGAATTCTGGAGAAGGTGGGAGATTTGCACTCCTAAAGTCCTACTGAAAACACCTATCCTACCGGATCTCGTTTAATCATGTTCACCTCTGTATTAGCACAGGTGAGAAATGTGGCCACACTAGGCAGGGGTGACAGAGAAGAGCTGCGGTGTGGCTTGTCCACAGGCAGCTCTGGGGAACTCCAGGTACTCCCCACCTCTCCGGGCAGGCAGGCCACTGTGTCAGGGCCCCGGGATGGCTCTTTAAGCATTTACCCCACCTCCACACACCCCATCCAGGGCTGTACAAAGTCTCTTGGTACTCCTGGGGCCAATACAGAAGGGATGGGGGCCCCTTGTAACACCTGGTGGCTGTCCCCCTCTACCCTGATTCCTGGAAACAGACAAAACACCTGGTTACCTGGGGTTTGTGTTTATTGTTCCTTGGGGCTTTGGGATCTCTGAGGATTGCCTTCGGCTGTACTTGTGCACCCTCCACCTCTCCCTCATCCCTCGGGGAGGAAACTGGGGTGTTTGGCTTCCCTCAGGGGCAGGAGGCAAAGTCTTGGCTCCAGTATGGGTTGGAAGGGCTCTGGGCGTTAGGATTGCCCGCATGTTCTCCCCGGTTCCTGAGTTTGTAGCAAGTTCGGAGAAGGAAGACCGCTTTGCTGGCCCAGCGCCTTCCTGTTCTTCTCTCCCATTTCCTGCCCCTGCCCGCCCTCCTTCTCTTGCTGAGTTGGCCTGTGTTTCTCAGCAGCCCCGACAGTGGGAGTGTCATCCGTACGGATTACCCAGGGCTGGTGTCCCCAGTCCAGGAGCTGTGGGCACAAGAGACTTCGGCTCTTCCTATCGCCTTGGCTTCTTTCTGAGCAAACAGAAAAAAACAAAAACAAAAAACAAAAAGGCCAGAGAAGACCACAGACTCTGTCCCCCTCGCAGCTTCCCAGAAGAGAACCCTGACTCCGCACTCCCCCGATGCCATTCCAATCAGAGGGAACAGCTTCGGACACCCTTCCGTCTTCAGATGCCATCGTTCTGGGCAGCCGCCTCTTAGATTCCCACCTCCATTTCTGACACTCGCTTCTGGAACCCATCCGCCAACATCCCCATGTTTCCCCCATCAGCCAAGGGATTGGGGCTGACCCAGACTTTAGAAAACAAGGAAATATGAACAAATTGGAATCCAGTGGTGTTGGGGCTTTTGTTTTTATTTTGTAAAGGTAATGACTTCTTATAAACTCAGTTTTTCAGACGACTTGTTACTTCTTTTTGTTTTCTCTCCGCTGCAGTTTGGAGTCGTACATTGTAAAATATCCAAAGATCTTGAGTACTGTATGATGGAGAAGAACTTGACGCAAATGGGTTGGGGGTGGGGGGCAGGGGTGCTTGCGTTTTGTTTCTTTTCTTTGTTTCTCTTTCCTTTTTTCTTTTTTTTCTTTTCCTTTTCTTTTTTTTTTTTTTTTTTCCTTTGGTGTTTCAATTTCCCTGTCTGTCTGTGGGAAAACTTTGGAATTTTTCCTATTTATAACTTTTTTTTTTATGTGATTGCTTTATGTAAAATGACACAACAGAGTTTGCCTTAGTGATTCAAAGGACAATCTTCCATAACTTTGGTCGCACGCTGCACCCCGCCGAGAAAAACTCTCAGCTAATTTTCTGGCCTATTTATTAAACAGTATTAATTGACTTGATTAAATTATTGAGAGTTGCACTTCTGTGAGAGGTGACCAGCAACAAGTCAATGGCTAGGGGTTCACCGCAAAAAAAGGATCTGATGACCAGGTGTCACAGGGTTACAATGATGTCAAAGACGTCTTTGCAAAAACCACAAACCTTTGAGCCTTCACTAGTCACTTGAAGGACAGTGTCCTGAGGCACAGAAAGCAAGGCTTATTCAGTCTCCTGGTTCAGGTTGACTTCCTCATTCCAGGGCTCATTTTAGGTGTCCGGGGTGGTTCCATGGTGGGGAGGCCGGAGCTTAACTTCCTCAGCGTCTCCTACCTTTCTGGTGTGGGAGGCACTGTGCCATCACAAGCTTTGGGGCATCCGCGAGCCCCAGTGCAACATGTATGTGTGCGTGTGTGTGCACGTGCGCGTGTGCAGGGACAGCCTGTGGTGTGTGAGCCCGCGAAAGTCACAGAGTGCTGACCCTTTTGTCACCGCCAGTCCTCTTAGCTCCCCACCGAGGCATCCATGGCGGCCCCCGCTGGTCTAGCTCTGTCCTTACCCTCTCTCCTTTCCTGGCAATGGAGCTGGACTTCTCTTCCCTTCTCACTGAACCTCTTTCCCAAGCAGGGAACACGAGCTCCTGAAAGAGGTAAGGATTGCCATTGAACGGAGTCAACTCTACTCAGAACCCAGAGCACAGACTCTCTGAGTAAAACTGTTCTTTGAGCTGTGTTTTCTGGGTAACCCAGGGTTTCCCAGAGCCCCTTTTTCTGTTTGCAATCCCCCTTTTTTTCAATTAGCATCTGTTTTATTTTTTTTTTATTTTTATAAACATATAATGTATTTTTATCCCCAGGGGTACAGGTCTGTGAATCGCCAAGTTTACACACTTCACAGCACTCACCATAGCACATACCCTCCCCAGTGTCCATAACCCCACCCCCTCTCCTGACGCCCCTCCCCCCAGCAATGCAATCCCCTTTCTTGCCATGGTCAGCATTCTTTTTTTCTTTTCTTTTTTTTTTTTTTTAAAGATTTTATTTATTTTTCAGAGAGAGAGAGAGAGAGAAAGGGCATAAGCAGGGGGAGCAGCAGGCAGAGGGAGAGGGAAAAGTAGGCTCCCCGCTGAGCAGAGAGCCCAATGCGGAACTCGATCCCAGGACCCTGGGATCCTGACCTGAGCTGAAGGCAAACACTTAACTGACTGAGCCACCCCAAGTGCCCCTTGGTCCGCATTCTTATAAAGCAAACGCAGCATTTCTCCATACAGAGGAAAGAACAAATGTGGGTTTCCAGGCTCCCAGTGTGCCCTCAGGCTACTCACCTTCCCTACTCTGGTCCTCACGTGGCTCTAGTAACAAAAGGGAGCAATTACACCAGAGCATCTCCAAATTTTCCACCCAAATGCCCTTCAGCAGTGGGGGGTCAGTCAATCAAGAAATGGGGACTGAGCTCTTAAAAAAATTGCCTGAAGCATCCCTCCCGTAGTGTAAAATTCTGCAATTGGAGGTTGTGGCTTTGAAATTCACATACCGACATTCTATCACATAATGTATATGCATTTGTCTTAATATAAAAATGTCATTTTGAACTACTTGCCAGTTACATTATTTGTCTTCCGCCCCCTCCCCCCAAAATCTTCTAGTAAAGTCAAAACGTACCCCACCTACCCTGCAGACCATTGAGAGGCCCAAGCTGATGGCTGAGGGCTTTGGGGAGTCAGCACAACCCAGTGCAAGAAATATGAGGCCATGGATTCAAGATTTCACTCAGATCAGGCATCCTGGGCTCACTGGGTCCTCAGTCTGGGAGTCGATATCCACTGAGGGCTATAGGTAAACACGGAGGAGGGGTAGGGCATGGGTCCAATACACCTTGACCCCTGGGGACTCCTAAACTCATGTGGGTAAAATCTCTACTAGTTCTGGCTGGGTGGGTTTTCCATGGAGACTCGCCAGGCATGACCCGCTCCCTCAGACCCCAAGGTGCTAAGGAATTTGGATTGCTAACAGCAAAGGGACCTCCAGGACAGAGAGGAGAGAAAGGTTGGAGAATGAGACCATTGAGGACAAAGAACCATGTGTATGTATCTTAACCCAGAGAGGAAGGCTTAACAGATATATGAAAACAGACCTTGGAATTTCTAAAGCTCTATCAGGTAGAGGGAAGATTTTACCCAAAGTCTGGCCAACTCCAACCAATAAGAGAGATATTCCAGGAGGTAGCTGGATGTCCGAGGAAAGGAAGGTAGCTTCTAACATGTACGGTGGTCCTAAAGAGGAGTGGGGTCCCTTGTGAGGCAGGGAGTTCTCAGTCAGCAGAAGGACAATCCTGGGAAGCCTTTCAATAATGTACATGAGGGTCCTTTACAGAAGGACGTCTGTCCTTTGGGTCCCCTCCATCTGATTCGTGAAAGGATGAATACATATCCTCAGGCGACCGTGGAAGAAGGACTGTGCCAGGGAGAGGGGGTGACAAGTGAAAAAGATGAGATGGGACAAGTTCACAAAACCCAGCTTGGTGGCTCAGGGCCACCTACCCTCTCCCCCCCCCCCCCCCCTGTCCTGTGACCTGCAGCAACTTGGGGCCAGAGAAACAGGACTCTGTGTCGAAGAGGCCCTGACTTATTTTGAGACCCTGATTATGTGACAGAGGAGTAATGAACCAACGGGAATGAAGAGGGTCTCTCACCTTAGGCTTTTCTCTGCCCCCATAGCCTACCTTTACAGGACAAAAGTCTCCATTTGTAGGGCTGCAGAGGCCCAGGCCATGTCCTGGCGGACCTTTTCCGGGACCCCATGCCTCCTGTCCTGGGATCTTGCCAGCTCTTCCTCCCTGAGGGCCTTCTGAGCTTACCGCAGAGTGGACGGGCGGGTATTTCCAGAAACACGCCCAATTGCGTGTTCCCCTGTGTGAACTTTCCCTTCTGAAAGCCACATGAAGTTAGGGCTTTGTGAGGGAAAGAGAAAGAACAGGGCCTCATGGCCACAGTCTCCCTCATGGGAAAAATCTGTCACTCTTCAGGAGTAGAGGCCTACAAAGTCAGAGGCCCCTCCAGGGACCTGAGGTAAATTCTAGAATCGAAGATGTTTACATCCAGTGGCCTACTCCCCAACACGCCACCCCCCATGTCACCCTCCCCCCTTCTCCTGGTGCCCCTTTCTACCCCTGCCCTTCTGAACTGCCCTTGGAATGTGGCCACTCTGTCTTTCCTGGCCTCCCCTCTGGTTACACCCAGATAGGAGCCACCAAAGGGGAACATGACTCACAGGCTCCCTCTCCCGGCCTCCGCAGACCCCTGGTCCTCGTTCAGGGTGGAGAGGAAGGCCCCAGAGCGAAGCCACACCATGCCTCAAGCAGCCAACAAGGGTGGCTGATTTGAACGGACAGCCTGAAAATCACCCTAGCAGGCAGTTACCTGTCTGTCTGGACCTCCCCCCGTCCCACCTCTCCCCTACTCTGCCAAGGGGTGCAGGAGTGAAGGCGGATGCAGGAAGCCAGCAAACAGCCTCTTTCCCTCCTTGCAGCTCTGAAGCACTGAAAACTGAGTCAAACATGCATTTCCAGCAATTGATGGGGAGAGGATTCCCTGGGGAGGCTTTGCTCATTTTTCCCTCCTTACCACATCCTGGGCAGAGGCTGTTGTGACCTTGAGGAACGGAGCCCACAGGGCTTACACCCAAAACTCCGGGCCCTGAAATGGACTGACAAATAAGGACAAAACATCTCAAATCTGGACAATCCTGGGAAGCCTGGAAACTGATGACTCGATCTGTAGCCAGACATGTACCCGCGTGCACACACACACACACACACACACACACAGGCTCATCAGACAAATGATACACAGGTTGATGTCATCCCTCCTCGTAACAATAGGAGATATGGCAGCGCGTAGATGAGACCCAGCACGGCCGCTTTCCCCACAAGCCTCCCTGCCGGAATATTCATAATGCACTCTCTCATCTTTATCCTCGTGATTTCTCTGTTTAACCATGAACTTTGACCCTGACAACACACTCAAAAGAATAAACAAAGAGGTTTCTGGAAGAAGGAAGGAAGACGGTGAATCAGACCCTTTCCCGTGTTCCTCTAGAAATTAATACATTAAGTGCAAACCCTCTGAGTAACATGAAGGGCTTTGTGTTTTCTCAGAGGACTCCTAACATCCATTGCTCAACTGTGTTTTAACCTGAGAGGCACATATCCTCATCCCTATCTGTATCAGCTGAGATTCGTAGTCGAACAGCAGAGCCCACCCAGGCAGCTTAAGTAGAAAAGGCATTTATTAAAGGAAATGAGTCTCTTGCAGAATCTCCCCCAGCGCCAAGGTGTCAGGCATGCAGAGTCCCCAAGATCAGTTGTGCAGGTTGTGCACTGCACAACACCGCCACTTTTGAAGAGGCACTATTCACACACTAGAGAGATCTGTGTATTTGTTGTAACAGACACTAGATTTGTATATCACAGCCAGTTTCCAGCAGATGGCAGTAAAGTGTACAGAAGGGGTGCCACGGTCAAATTTGCACCCAGCCCATGGCCTGGGGAAGCCAGGAACAACTCTGAGCCACCCAGTGTCACACTGCT